TTTTCTTTCGGCACAGTCTTTCTCTTAAAAATCACCATAGGTGGCAGTTTCTTGTCAACCAAGGCAACCTAGCACAACAGTAAAAGCCGACATCTCGTGCCTCAATGTGCATATCGCTACCATGCTGGTCTCCTTCTTTTCGACAGTGTGGTTCACCAGGATGTCAAAGGTGAGCAGCACCTCGTCCATGTTGGTGATGTGGTTGGGCTGGATGTATTTGTTGGCAATCTGTTTCCGGCAGTAGGAGCCGAAGATGGCCAGCTTTTCTTTGTAATCCGCTGGACGTTTCTGTGCCACAGTAATTCTTACCCGGATGGATAGTTGGTGCCATTTCATAAAACGAAAGCACCAAGAGAGACCTCTTTGAAAATGTTCGATTTTCATTTCATTTCATGTTTCATTTCTTGTGCAAGCTTTTTTGCCCTCAGTCGAATGGTGACCATCCAGACACTTCTCCTGGATGTTCTTTGACGGTGAATCCATTGCTCGAGTTGGTCTTCCAACTCGGGCCACCTCGCCTTGTTTCCGTGGAAACTCAGCTTTGTCTTCTTGACTTTGCAGGGCTCTTTCTCCTTCTTCCTCCACTTGCGATTGTCACTCAATAAAGGTGGATGAAAGGGCTTAAAACAGGACTGACTTCTTAAAACCGAGGTAGTGGGAACTTAAACAAGTCCCTCTAACACCGGTTTAGGAAAATTCCCCCCCGGTGACCACGTTTGAGCAGGTGAGGGACAATAGGAGTTTTAACCCTTTGAATGGAGAGTCGGCCAGGACTTTCCTGATAGTCCCATGAGATGAGTAAGTGGGATAAGACAATGTTATATGTATATCTCATACATGGCAATGGCGAGTGATGAAAAAAGCGGAAGGGGCGTGGCCTGGACGGGGGCGTGGCCTGGACGGGGGCGTGGTTACTTACAAAAGTGGCACTAAACATGCTGAAGATGAAGTGTATTAAATTTACACAGTTTGAAAATTGAACAGAAAAAAAATCCCAAGATCGCCACTATTCTTTCAAGTGAAAA